CTGGGAGTTGAAGTCCACCCGTCTTAAAGTTGCCAAGGTTGAGGAACCCTGCCATAAATCACCCATTCATTTCTTTCCGTTTCCAGCAAAAAGTTCATAAGAGGTTTCCGGTCTTTAACAAACATACTTGCTGTCTTATCCCTGATCAAACAGGTCAATTTTGCCATTTCTGCCAGTTCCATCATCTTCACAATCCATTCCTCCATTGTAGGCATCTCAATATTTTCCCACTCTTGTGCCTATCATAGTCTCGCTGCAGTTACCATGGAACCAACCATAGGTCTTCCATAGGTCTTTTCTAAGGGGCTGCGCTGTGTGGCTGGACTCCCGTGCGTGACCCGGGCTGGAAAGGGAGTCCCACAGGGAATGACTTTTGCATGGTCAAATGGAGAACTGTATCTAAATCTTGGCAGTCCGGGTTCAAGAGTACACCGTACTGAGGCAAATGCATACGCACTTATCTTAAATTTTAGAGTTTTCCAAAATGGAAAGATGCTAACGCATAATCACAAAAATCAATCAATCTTTGCAAGCTATTCGTGAGAGACAGTGAGCCCCCAATCCTTATTCCTTCAAGCCCCCTTGCTTGAAAGCTCAGTTGTACTTCAAAATTCACACTTCCCAAAATATTTTGGTGTAGTTCACCAATCAGGAAAATAAGGGGGTAATGGAAAAAATGTGCAAAAAATTCAGTTTTTAAATGGTTGACTGGAAACCCCTGATGGACTTTTTGCGTAAAACAGAAAAAAAGTGAACTTATGATTTATGGTTTCGATGATTAGACAGGATAGATTATAGAAAGAAGAGAGTCACACTGTAATCTTACAGCAAGAGGTAAATTTATAATTGTACTTATAACTGCAGTTAAGAAGTTCAGAAGCCACTTTGTATTTTTTCTTTTTTTCTTTTTCTTTTTTCCCTTTCTTGCACTTTTACCTTTCTTTCTGATTTCTTTCTCTTTCTTTTCTTCTTCTTACTTTATATTAGTTTGTATTCGTTTTTATCTTTCTTTTAAAAACTTTTACCTTTTAAAAAAATTCTTCTTTTTAAAATGTAAAAAAATGCTTTCAATGAGAAGAAATTATTTATAGAAACTGCTTAAGTAGAGAAACTTACAAGCAGGTGTTTGGAAAAATGTGAACAAAAATACATACAGATTGTGATTTTAATGTATACACTTACGTTAGCCTTTAGCTGGTTCATAATTTCATCTAACATGTTTTGGCTTTACTTTAGAAGCCAAAAATCAGGATACAAACTTTCCAGATAAATTACTTATAATCAAACAGCCATCTTCAGGAGGAAAGATGGCAAAAGCCATGCCTGAAAACAGTCTGCATATCTGAGGTTTCAAAGCCTTCACCTTCATTCTGAACATGCCCTCCAGATCAAAGAATCATAGACTGGAAAGGGTCATTTAGATCATCAACTCCAACCATCTGTTCAGCATATAAATCAAAATTAAAGCATCCCTGACAGATGGCTGGACAACTTCTGCTTGAACACATCCAACAAGAGGAAACGACCACATCTTTGAGTAATTGGTTCCATTTTCAAGTTGGGCTTACCATTAAGAGATTCAACTGGAATCTTTAGTTCATTATCTGAAAACTACCCTATTCTTTGTTTTACACTTTTAGGCAATGGAGAACAGGTCTTTGTCTTGGCTATACCCTTAAATGAGCTGAAAAATCCATCCCCATCATCTTTTCTCAAGGTGAAGCACCAGCTCCTTCCATCACTTCTTGTAGTGCCGCTGACATTCGATGTTAGGATGGGGTAAGTCATAGAGGATGTCACTTGCTGTCTCCTGCTGATGCAATATTTCCTTCTCAGCTGGACAGCTCCCCTGTGGATTCAGCAGATTTTCCCCATGGATTTGTTGTTTTTCCTGCTGGACAGCTCTCTAGCCTCACCCCTCAAATGGAGAATTCATGCCACATAACTCAGAGAAGGAAAGAGCAGTCCACTTGAAAAAGAAATCAAGAATGAGCTATTGCTTTTATTGGAATAATATATGTTAATATTCTCAAAATGTCAGAAATGTCAGAAATGTCATGCCAAGATGTAGGGATAAAAAAGGTATGTTCTTCTAAAGCCATTATTTTTATGTGAGGACACTTCTTAATATGAATCTGTCTCTGATACCAAAACTGACACTACAGTGGATATTGCAACAAAAGGTTGCAACACGTTCTTGCTCTCTGCTAGATATGCTTTCCTGGGTTGCAACCAACAAGGCTGTTGAACCTACTTTCCTCAAATGCACCAACTCCCTCATTCTGTTGTTCTTATCCAATTGACTATCAGCACTGCATGTGTTGTGTAGACTACCAAACACTGTCCATATACTATTAGAGTGATTTTTTTATTTTGCTCCTTTTCCATTTAAAAGATATTGATAGATATGATCTCTGTCAGAGACCACCCAAGTCTGTTGATTCTGTTTCTCTTGCTGCCATAGTCTGGTATAAAAACCCTACCTCTTCCAACTGGATATGCTATGTACTTTGAAAAGAAAATTAGATTGAATACAGTATTTACCTTTAAAATATTTAAGGGGTCTTAAATTCATTAGGAATATGGTAAAAGAAGCATGTGGATTTTTAATTCTAACCTTTTCTCCTCCTCCTTCCTCTTCTTAGGGTGTGCATCTTAACTTTAGGGCTGTCTTCCATTCAGTTAAGCAAATGATTTGCATTCCCTTTAAAGCAGGGTCCCTCAACCTTAGCAACTTTAAGATGGGTGGACTTCAACTCCCAGAATTCCCCAGCCAGCATGGGGAGTTGGAAAGAGTTAAATTCTCTCATCCCCTCCACTCCGTTCTGAGCTTGCTCTGGTTTCCTTGTGAGTGCTATTTATATTTATATAACAAATCGCATCTCTGTTAATTTTATTTACACTATTATCATCACCTCTAATTTGGCCTTCCAGAGAAACTGAATCAAAATACTGGTTTCCCAGAAACAATATTTGAAAAGCTCTGTTGCACTCAATTTGGACAGCTGAAAGCGAGACCAAAGTTTAGAGTACAGGATGAGGCACAGAATAACACCAAGCACATCATCGTTGAGGGCAAGAGCAAAGAGGAAACAATCACACCAGGCTATTGATTAGGTTAGCTCTTTTCTGCAGCCTGAATATTTGGTTTCTGATGCATTTTTGGAACAGTATATGGTTACTTAAACCACATGTATGCTACAAACTGTCTTCTCAAACTTTACCCTTTGTAATACCTCTACAAAGAACGGTGAAGTTTTCAAAGCAGAAGAAGACAAAAACTGAACTCCTGACCTGCCCCTTTAAACAAATGTTCTAGTTTTCTGAACCTGTAATTGGACCAGGCAGGTTCCATGTGCTTTTTAAAATTATTTTTTATTAAAGAAGTGTTTTACAAGGTAAAACAATACAAATTCAAAGAAAAATGAAAGTAAAGGAAAAGAAAAGTGATAAGTAAACAGAAAAGAAAGAAAAAAGACAAAAAAAAGGAAAAAAGATATAAAGAAGTGGCTTCAGATCTTCTTTACAGCAGTTATAAATGCATTTATATCCTCTCTCTGCAAGGTTACATCATGACTCTCTTCTTTCCATATTTTATCCTTTCTAACCATCATACCCATAAATTGCGAGTTCATTTTTTTCCATTTTCAGCAAAAAGTCCACAAGTGGTTTGCAGTCACTGACAAATGTAGTCACTGTCTTTTCCCTAATCAAACAAGTCAATTTTACCATTTCTGCAAATTCTGTCATCTTCACCAACCATTCCTCCACTGTGGGTATTTCAGACTCTTTCCATCTTTGTGTGTATAATAATCTCACTGCAGTTACCATGTACAAAACAATTGTCCATAAATCTTTTCTAATTGTCTGTCCATTAGTGCCAGCAAGAAAAGTTCTGGTTTCAATTGAATATTAGTCTTTAAAATTCTTTGTAACACCATGTGTATGGTTCCATGTGATTTTAGACCCTGCTCTATAAGACCACCCAGACCATCTTTTAGAGATCGCTTTAAAAGACCACCCTGTTGGACAGCTGAATGACAATGACCTTGTTCATCTTTTATCTAAATCAAAAGATAAGTAACAAGGAATATGGTATTTATGCTTCTTCAAGATAAACAGCCTTAGTAATAAAAGCCAAATAAATCTTTTGCTGTCTAATTTACCCTGATGGAAAGGAAATGGTTTCCATATTTCTTAGCCCCCAGAAAAGAAGAGTTTGAGTTACATGCTCATGGTTGAGATGCATGCTCCGTCTTTAAGTATACTTATGAGGTGTTTATGTGAAGGTCCTGTCTTGATTGTACAATCCACTCCAAAGCAGTCTGCAGCCCTGCTTCCATCCCACTTGTTGATAATTTGAGTTACCATTGTACATTCGTGTACGATGTTTAGAGCCTGAGTCATGCATTCAGTTATTTGTTATGCTAGGAGCCCCATATCTGGGCTGCAGGAATCTGGATTACTACTAGGTGGCTGAAAAGAGATATCTTATGCTGCCAAATATTCCAAGGTGGACTGGATCCACCCAAAGATCCCAAGGAAGCCCACAAGTAGGACATATGGACAGTAAGCTCATCCTGTGCTATTGCCCCAGTACCATCCTCTGATCCTGGAAGTAAACTATAACTAGCATGGCTAATAGTCCCTGATGGCCTTATCCTCCATGGATTTATCTACATTCCTTTTAAAGCTAGCTGAACGAATAACCATCTTTGCATTTTGTGAAAGCAAATTCCATAATTGAATTATGTACCATTTTTTCTACAGAGCTGGAAAATATGGAAGGCACTTGGTGAAATGGCTTTCAATCTTTCCTCCCTCACCTCTGCTATTTTGCTTCCACTTCTGCTGCATCCCCTCAGCTTTTGAACCTTCTCTCCTGATCTGCCAGAATAGGAAAAGTCTGCATAACTCAGTAAACAATCCTGGAAACCAAGACGGTTTGCTGGACCAGCTGGGAACATATTATAGGCCCCTTCAGATTCAACTTTGGTTTTCCCACAATGAAGAGGGGTAGTGTTGTGTAAACTGGCACAACGGGCATCATGACGTCACAGTGCAAGTACGAAAGGAGCAGAGTTTCCATTGCAACCTTGTGATGCCTGTTTAGTCATTTGCTTCCCCCTTGTTCCCCCCCTACAGATACACATCGCTCAAGGGATGGGGCCAGATCCTATGTGACAGCTCAAGGGGATGGAACTGTTTGTATCACATCCCTAGAAAGCTCCTATCGTGGAATTTTTGCTGAAGAAAGGAGTGCAACACTGAGGAGAACCATGTTTATTGCCATGATCGTTGGGTGCCTGCTTTCAAGAAAGAGGGGCCCGAACAATAGAAAGGCAGAGATTCTTATGCACTTGGTGGTGGTGGGGAATCTGAGGGATCTGATTTGCGGGCAAGTTTTTTGAGGAAGAGAGATAGGTGTTAAACAGGGGAAAAGTGTTTTTCTATTGTAAAACAAAAGTCCCACCTCTGTGAAAGACAGCAGGCTAAGGATTCTGTTGCTAACAAGAAGTGGAATTTTGAGATAACCGGGTGCCCATGTTTGATTACGGGGAATGCCTGCCATCTCTCACCTTGTTAACAAAGCATCCTCATTGGGGCTCCCCCCTAGACAAACCTTTAGGCCGGACAGGTGAGAGCTTTCTCCCTGTTTTTCCTGTGGTAGGATTAAAAGGGCTTTTCT